TATAGTAATAATGTAATGATGTAAAGATAAAAAGAAATGTAATGGTATTAATATAATCATTGACAACCTACAATTTAAGAATGCCACAGCTTGAATTGTGGTATTGTGAAGAACAACAAATCTGCCTTGAAGGAAGTGTAGTCAGAATATTCCTTGGAAGCGAGGATGGCAAGATTTCATCTCGCATACTCAGTGCAAATTGTCAGGAATGTCCAGTCCCTGGGAAACGACATCATGCTTGGTAAAGGAGAGTCACTGTAAGAGAAGAAGCCTGTTAAAGAAATGGATTGACACACTGGCTGCAGCATTGCTCTCCAACATAGCAATTACGAAGCTGGTGCAGGACCAGGTAGTGTTTTGCTGTGCTATACAGAGTCACCTGAGCCCGAGCTGGCAACAACAACCATGATCATTTATTTTTGAGCTTTCTGGGTGTAAGAAGAGCATGGGAGTGACGTCTGACCTCTTCTCATTTCACCAAGGAGAAGGGGAATCAAGTTCAGCATTAGCCCAAGGCCAATTCCTATGAGACAGAGGTCAGACATGCACCACCCTGTAACTTTTACCAATTCTGACACCAACGGTCCTTTCCACAGTGTTCTGTACATCTCTACTGGATTCTATAATCCATTGCAATGACCACACAAAACTCATAGACAATACTCACAGTGATGGAGTTTATTAGGGAAGAATTCCAGTTCAGAAATGCCCAGGCTACTGGTCCTTTGGTCAGGAACACTTCTTCTCCATCATATCCATAAACACACCTCTTTCTGATTCTCATTCTCTTAAGCCACACAGCCCCTTGTCCTCTGTCTGCTTGGGCAGTGTTACAAAGATCCTTTAGCACAGATAAATGCCTAGAGGGCACTTAATTCTGCTATAAGCATTGTCTTAAAGGTATTCAACTGTAGTACCATGAGTCAACAAACCTAGCTTCCTCAAGTAAGTACCTGGAGGAACCCACTCTAAAAGTGAGTCTCCTGCCCAAAGCACTCAGTTATACTCACTCCATGGGCCAGAAAGCCCACCGATCTTATGCTCTGGCTCTTGGTTTTGCTGTTGCTCCTGCTCCTTTGAGATTCCTCTGCCGCTGTTCTGTTGTTACCTTGGATCAAGGAGGTGGTCGGCATCTAAAAGATAGGCTCCACTCTTGACTATTCTTTCTTGATGGTGGTAGGATTCTCCACCATCCCCACACACCCTATCTCCATGCCTCAATCTCTGTTCTTCATACTGCAAGGACTCATTTTATTTTCAGTGGGATGGCAAAATTGACCGATCCCCAGAGTAAAGTAACATGTTTTCACAATTGTAATTAATCCTGTTAAAAATCACTCGGAACTGAGTCATATAATCCTATTAGCATCCCCCCACCCCCACCCCGCCCCATGCTCTCTTATCCAGATCCATCAAGAAAAGAATTCTACTCAAGCTGCATCTTCCTACCCAGTCACTTGGTGGGAGTACACCATATGGCTAAAAGAACCAAATCAAGCAAATCACTGCACCCCAGTGGGCATGATTATTCATTCCCATTCTCTCTCTCTTCTCTCTCTCTCTCTCTCTCTCTCTCTCACACACACACACACACACAGATACATACCCATTTTCATTTATTCACAAATCCATATTTATGAGCTATTACACAGACAAGGAAACTGAGTCTTAGCTATGATGACTCACCTAAAATCAAACAGCCAGGAGATAACGGATCCAGGGCTGTGGCCTTTCTGTAGCACTTAACATTGTAGTTAGCAGGGGCCTCTTGGGGGACTGTGGTACTTTCTTGAAGGTAGGAAATAGTCTTACTCATCAGTGTACCCAGTTTCTAGCACAGAACAGGATGGAACCAGGAGGTGATGTAGCTAGAGCTTTATTTTAGGAAGATAAATCTGGCGATGACGAGTGGGATGAAAATCACAGGCAAAGACGGGAGGCATGGAGAACAGGTTAGATGTCATTGCAGCACTTCAGAGAAGATAATGGGATTGTGAGTGAGAGTAGCATTGAGAAATAAGCAATAAGAAATGTGAACAAAACTTAGGACGAGCAAGTTCCCGGGACCTGATGCCCAGGAAGTTAAGGAGAGGGTGATGAAAAGGGCCAAGCCAAGGAGACTGGGCTTCCTCTACATAAATCTAATCATTTCATACCCCAAGTAGTTAAAAGCTACTCTACGCGTAGACTGAACACTTTCATAATGATTAAGCTACTAATCTCCAGTAACAAATTTTAAAACTAACATGTCAATTTCCTACTACGTACCCGGTCCTGCAATAAATGTTCATTTAGGCAGCAATTGCTTCTAAAGCATCAACCATGTGCCAAAAAAACTATTTTAGATACTGAGGATACAAGAATGAGCTGGGCAGGCAAAGATCTTGTTGTCTTGGAGTTTATATTCTAAGAGGAAAAGATATAAGAATGGCCAGTTCTTGGAGAGGGTAACTTAAGAGTGTTCAAGAATAACAACTAGCTTCGCTGTAGCATCTTAGACAAACCTGAATGTATAGATCGATATATCTTCATCTTAAACAAGAGCCAACTGAGACTTGGGGATACTAAGCAACTCCTTCAATCTAAAACATATAATGATGGATCCTGCCATGATTTTGCTTCCAGCAGCACAGGTGATCCCTAGGGTCCTGAACCAGCCATATCTTTGAAACCTCCTGACCCCTCACCCAGAGAAATGTTACTGATGAGCAAGTTCAGATGTGAAACTCTATCCCTGAGTACAGAGGGAGATGCACATTGCTTTTCCTTGAAGGCTAGGTAGTCTCCACTGACTTTGGGATCAAACCTCTCATCTCCTTTGCATCCTCCTTCGTCCTAGCTTTCTAGTAGAGCTCGGCTTGGGACTCTAAATAGGACATTCCGCCTAGACGACCTTTGCTTTCTACTTGCCCTCCCTCGTATGTGGCTCATGTCTAGTTATCCCTCAGGCCTCAACTTGGTCATTCTGTTGGGTAAACCTTCCTTGATCTTCAGACAATCATTCTGCGCTCCTCCTAATATGATACTTATGGTTGCCATTAGTTTATTTGTATGTAAGTGACTCTTATTTTATTTATGAAGTTTATTTGTTAATAATTAATAAAAGTATTAATGCCTGCCTCTCCCATTAGGCAAAAGCCAATTTGATATCATGTTTCCTCCTGATTCCAAATGTGAAAAAGAAACAACAAAAAATAAGCTTCTATTAGCAACTTGATTAGAGTTAACAGAGTTTAATGAGCCAGAAACAGGAAGTATCCCAAACTGGAAATGGTGAGGGGCTCAAGTTTTCACAGTACCTTTGAAAGTTTAGATGGGTATGTGGCGCACATAATCACTTTTAATTTTCCTTTTTGTTTTGAGAAATTTGGTCACTGAACGATACACTGGTTTTTCTTGATTGGATGACTGTTGCAAACTCATGATGCTAAGAAATTATCACTCATGCTGATTAGGCAACTTTGCCTAAATTTCAATTATATGTGAAGCTAGTATTTCTTGTCAATGGATTCCTGACAAGTGTTTGTTTGGCATTTGGCTCAGGAAAGACATTTTAACTCTTGCCTCTGTAAGAGCCTTTTAGTACCAGTGTTGATCACAGTTCCTGGCATCTGCCGCTTGTCAAATGAATGGATTATAAAGGAATGAATGAAGGATGAATGTGACACACGCCGTTCAAGCACTTAACCTCCAGGACATCCTAAATAGAAATCTGGAAACAAAGACACATTCTGGTTGGTGCTCTCTTTTTTCCAATCCCTCAGCTGATCCCATGCTCTTTAGAGTGAATCCCTTGTACTGGGATTCTTGCATTCCAGTTGGAAAAAATCTTCTGAGCTCAGCTCTAATTTAGAAGCCCTCTCTAAGCACGTGAGCCCAAAGCCCTCTTACACAAAGAAAATGAGATCTGGGGAACCGTTCAAAGAAAAGAAGCAAAATCAGAGAGCGAGATCGGGCGCATTCAAGGAACAGTGAGACGCTGGGGGTAGAGCATGACCCAATGTCCTGAGGAAGTGCTCACACTTCAATCTGACAGGTCTCTCTTTGCCCAGGTGGGAAATCCAGATTGCTTCTACTAGTCTTCTGAGGCAGAAGTTAGACTCTGACTGGACACCAGTCCCTGGGTGGGCTACCGAGAGCACGGGCTTGGGGACAATCCATTAGGAAGTCTTCCTGTGCCTATTAAATAGTCAAGAATAGTAGTTAATGCACTCAGCTCTTATTAAACCCAAGGGTTAGAGGCCCAAGTCCAGGCAGAGGCACCTTGGGAGAAGGACCTGGTGATCGATCCCCTTCTGAAAAGGCAGTCAGTGATTGCCCTGGGGAGCACAGGTGTTTTCTGAAATTCATGGGCTCACCATGAGCCGGAATCAGCAGCAACTCGTTATTGGGGTTCCTGTCCCTTAGACTTGGTACAGGAGGATGGGGTGTCATGGGAACCCTCACACACAGTGTGCACTCTTCAGCCAGCACTGGGCACCTTCCTCTGATTTGACAGCCAGTAGCCATAATGACCCCCACATAGCCCTTGTCAGTGTTTCACGAGCTCACCTACCCCTGTTTTGTGTGTTTATTAGATGCCAGGTATTAATAAAAGCCAACCTTTGCTATGTAGTTATCATCTGTTTAGGAGGGGGGTAGTCAGATTTATTTAAAAGTAGCATCTTCAAGTCACACTGTCAGGTATGTGCATTTCACCCACTCTGCTTCTTGCCTTTAAATGTTCTTCCTGTTGAGAGAGAGAGCCCTCCAGTTCTACTTTCTCTGCATTTTCTGAAACTTAGAAGACTTGATTATAAATAGTATAAGACACTCCTGGGATCCGGACAGATTTGGACTATATCATAAGCAGGTACAGCAGGAAGCACATTGGAACTTGAGGCTCAAATCTTGGCTCTGCTACTGAGTAATTGAATGACCCTAGACACGTGACCAGACTGTTGTAGACTAGGTGGTCTCTGCAGTTACCTCCGCTCTAAGATGTATGGTTCTCATTGCAGGCATCTTTTCCACAAGTCCTGTGTTGACCCCTGGCTTCTAGACCATCGCACCTGTCCCATGTGCAAGATGAACATTCTTAAAGCCCTAGGGATCCCGGTAAGCACGGCACAGTGTACAGCATCACGATGTCTGTCTTTCTGCGTGGTCCCCCAAAGCAGAGCGAAAACAACACACCTGCTTCTATGTCCTACCACTCACCTAGCCGTGGCATCAGCTGATGGAGCTCCGAGAAGCCACCTCCCCCTTCTGAAAGCATTTCTTCTCTCGCTTTTTCTCAGTCTGAGACCGTCACTACCCTTTCCCCGTGTCCGTTTTATTTGTGAGTCAAGACGCTGCTGGTGCAGCTGACAGGCGTCTCTTCTGGGCTACAGCGGAGTGAGGAGAGCTCTGCAGCATGCTGGGTCTCAAGTTGCATATTGATTACTTCTTGGGTGCCCATCAGCCACGATGGGTCATCTGGGGGATCTGCATGCCATCCTTGCTGTTTTGTGCAGTCACTCAACTTTCCGAGGAATTGAGTTCTTCCCAGCAACATGATGGGAAGACGTTTGCTGAGCCCCAGCTCCGAGCCCCTGCAGACTGTGAAACCCGGAGCTCTGTGGTGGAGACTTTGCATGAACAGGAAACCAGGGCCAGAGCCAGTTAACTCTAGGGCTCCCCTCAAGCTGGTCCCCTCAGTTGTATGCTTTGTACAATGTCGTCTCCCACAGTGTTGAGAGAATTCCACCAGCTGGCTGGATACTCCAGAGAAATGCTTTCCCAGGGCCAGATCAAGTGAAGCCCACAATCCCCTTTTGGTGAGACAGCAGCTGCTCCGTTCATCACCCCCCTCGAAGCAGACAAGGGCAGGAAGCTAGGCAGGCCACCAAATCTGAGAATGTCCTAAGAGACTTGTGAGAAAAGACAAAAGGCACTGTCTCTAAAAGGAGCTAGACAACAGGACAGAGCTGCCAGCCTCCCCCCACCTACCCCCCCTCCCTCCACTTTGCTGCAAACCCTCCACCCCATATTGTGTCTCCTCACTACTAATGACCAAGAATAAAGGGAATATTAACAGTCCCAAGAGCTTACTGACGAAGGAAGGATCGGATCAGATATCAAAGGTTTGCTTTAATTATCTGAGGGATGTCGGAGTGACTCTGTTGGAAAGGGCACACCTGAAGCAGGGTGAGGAAAGGAGTTGGCTGGGTTTCCTGCCCTTGCCCCGCTGCCCCCAGGCCAGCTGTATGCTGATTTGCATGGTGGATGCAGCAGATGCAAATCAACTTGTATGACTACAGTTGGGAGTTCGATTTTGAAAGGCAGTGCAGGGCATTAAAAATTCAGACCAGAGTGGCAAATGCGTAAGGCCTCCAAGGTGAAGATCAATTACAGCGAACATAAAACCCTGCAGCAAGTCCAACATCTCTGCCAGATCCCGGGACGTACAAGTCTGGACTCACTTTCTTCCCCTTTCAAAATGTCTGACTGTTCTAACCGGAGAGGAGGAGAATATGCGTTCAACTGGTTCTAACCGGAGACGGGGAGAATATATGTCTGTCTGCCTGTGCATGTGTCTGTCTTGTCTGTCTGTCTTGGGTTTCCAAAATCTTTAGATTGCTCACAGTTGAGGGAAGACCGTTATGTCATTTGACCTAGTGTTCCTTTCTCAGTACGTTCCCAAAACTCCCAGTCTCCAGCAGTGGAAAAGGAAACCAAGCAACCTCTGGTAGTTACATCTTTTACTGAGTCTTCATCGGACTCCAGATTTCTTCAGAAGCTATTTGTAAAGGTAGTAAGAATAGAGCTATCAATTGGTTTTAAAATAGTAATTACTGAGCTGGCTCTTTGGCTTATTTCTAAAGCTAATAACATTTCATAGTTAGAAATTTGGGCTTCTGGCCATCGTTTGATGCCTCCCTCGATCTGGATGGGATTTTACTTAGCATGCTTGACTTCCAGGAAATTTACCATCAGTAGGAGCTTTTGGATTTTGCCAAGGATTTTTAAAGGCCAGCTAGCTGATGGGGAACATGACACCCATCCAAGCATTCCCCAGAGAACAGAACTCCCTTCATGAAGGATGAAGTACACAGCTGAGCTCCTGCTCGCAGAGCCTGAAGCATATGGCTACCCTCCCTGCTTGCCCAAGGCTTTCTTATTTGTCCCCCGAGAGCTGCTGTGAAGTCTGGATTTGGGAGGGGATTTGGATGTTCTGCTCCATCTTTCTGGCATTGGGGTAGCTTCGAACCTAGACTATAACAAGAAGATACTATGTCAATCTTTTTTGAAACTTTCCATTTTGTTGAACAAATGCAGAACCCTTCCCTTCGAAGACGCTTCCTTTCCACCCAGCTGCAGACCTTTATCATATAGCTTTACACTTCCCTGACCCAAGGCACAATTATCAGCCACTGTTCACAAACTCTCAGGTTTCTTGGGAAAGGATTATCCCAGTTGGAGAGCATGCTGCCACCTGGAGGGTACCTGTATAACTGCAATCCTACCACCAGAGTCCACTTTGGACATGTGTATCCAACATAACTATATCCAAATCTGTATGACCTCAAGTTTCTCCGCTTGGGTTCAGCATGGCTTCCATTACTGAAGACATTTGGAATTAGCAAAAACTTCAAAGCAGAAAATAATTCCATCATAAATGGGTTAAAGAATGTATCTTAAATATTTCTTGGATCCCTCAAAATGCCTTTCTTATTATTCGAGGGGGACTGAAAAGATAGAGTCCCTGGATCACTGCTGCTCCCTGGTCCTTCCTTCCCACTTCCCTGATGTATGCTAGGTGCGTGCTAACTGTCCGTGGGGTTGCACCTCCTCATCTTCTTGAAGGCTAGGAGCCCCGGAGCTGGAGTGATGAGACCCCCTGTTCGCCAGTGACCAGTGTCCACTCACCAGCGACTGGGTTGCAATACTGATCCACCAGTGTATTCCAATACAGGTGGGAGGGTTCTTTTTTTTTTTTTTAACATTTTATTAGGGGCTCATACAACTGTTATCCCAATCCATACACACATCAATTGTGTAAAGCGCATTTGTACATCGTTTCTCAAAACATTTTCTCTCCATTTAAACCCCCGACATTAGGTCCTCATTTTTCCCCTCCCTCCCCGCTCCCCCCTCCCGCATGAGCCCTTGATAGTTTATAAATGGGTATTTTGTCATATCTTGCCCTGTCCGACGTCTCCCTTCATCCACTTTTTGGTTGTCTGTCCCCCAGGGAGGAGGTCACACACAGTTCCATGTAATCGGTTCCCTCTTTCCTACCCATTCTCCCTTTACCCCAGGTGGGAGGGTTCTTTTGCTTTGTATTTATTGACCACCTGGGGCCCGTTTGCTCTGTGAGGCATGCACGTATACGTTACAAGCCAAGAACGGGTTAATTTCTATTTTGTAAGGGAGTTCTCTGAAGTGAGCTAGAGACTGAGAGCAAAACTGTGAAATTCCAGTACAACATGTACTTGTTCCCGTTGTATTTTGCTGAGAGAAATCAAACAGTAAATTGGAGAGGGCAGGGGTCCTTTCTGATTAGAAGTGCTTTTATCCTATTATCTCCGTGATAGCGCTTCGTCCTCCTTTTCATCTCGTCAGGTCTAGGTCTTCCTATGCAGGGTGGAAGCACGCCGGTTCAGTGAATCTTCCGGAATGGAACCATCTGACCTGCGTTTTCCGCACAGCAAACACCTCTCCTGTGGTTGTTGTCCTGTTATGAATAATACGATTGCTGCAGAATAAGAAGCCTCTGAAACTGCTGTATTCACAAGTCCCTAATGATTTCGTAGTTGATCTTTGGGGGACATTTCCCCTAGCTACAAAGCCCTGGTGACATAGTGGGTTACTCATTATTTGGCTGCTACCTTCAAGGTCAGCAGTTCAAAACCACGAGCCACTCCAAGAGAAAAAGATGGGGCTTTCTACTCCCGTAAGCAGTGATAGTCTCTGGAATTCCAGGGGCAGTTCTACCCCTCCTGTGGGGTCACAGTGGGTTGGCCTGGACTGCGGGGCAGGAGCCGTTTCAGAGTTGTCTTTTGCAGTCTCTCTCCTGCCCCCTCTGTTAGAGATGCCACACTGCTCCTGTCAGCTAAGAATCACACTCTACCTCAAAAGGAAGGGAATGTAGAAAAGAAGGGAATTGTGTCAACAATCAGATCAACATTTTGAAAGACGTGTCAAATGGCTAATGCACATCGGCGTTGCAGGAACTCTGGTGGCAACGTGGGTTATGCGTGGGACTGCTCACTGTAAGGTCGGCAGTTCAAACCTACTACCTGTTCTGAGGGAGGAAGATGAGGCTATTTACTCCTATAGAAATTGCAAGTTTCAGAAACCCACACGGGCAGTTCTACTCTGTTCTGTAGAGTCACCCATGAGTCATCATAGACTCAAAGGCAGTGAATTTGTAAATTGAGTATGCATTGTATTCAAATGTTTACGGCTCAAAGAGCAACCCGCACAACTCCTCCTTGTGAAGTTTTCCTGACCAGCAGTTTGGAAGCACCAGCTGACCTCTGGCCTGCTGCTGCTGCTGCCAGCAGTTGACGTCTTGGAAACCTGTAGGGGGGTCGCTGTGAGTGGTGTCGACGTGGTGGTAGTGAGTTTGGTTCTGAGTGAGCACACACTGCTTTGGCTTCTAAGCCATGTTACCAACCTTAGCTTTGGACAGACCTTCTCAGCCTTTCTCAAGGCCTCCCTGCCTTGATCGAGGGTCGCTACTCACATGCCCAAATTTTCTGAGCAGGAACCTGAGACCCAGATAAGATGTTCAAATCAGCAGTTCCTAGAAACTAATCACTGTCTGGACTCTGTTGGAGGCGTGGAATTCAAGGTGACGATGCTAGGGCTGCTTGCCCTTGGCAAGTCTGTGAGCTCCGGAATGAGGTGGACACTACGCAGTCACACAATGGGAGAAATGCTGGATCCAGGGCTACCAGCGCGGCCGTGACCCCCAGAGAGGGAGCACTGCTTAGGACAAGGCGGAGTGACATTCCGCGGGGCTCAATTTGAGTGCCTGGAGTGGAAAAGAGGGCTAATCAGGACAAAAATTATTCCTCATAAAACAGCATTATCAAAAGTATTGAAAGATAGTGAAATGTAGGATCGGTATTTTTTTCTGCAGGCTGGAAGGGAGGCCAGCAAGGTAGGCTTGTTTTTGTCACACTAAGCAACTTAGAAAATAGTTTTATTTCTTAAGGTAAAACTAAAAAAAAAAATGCAATGCCACTGAGTCCATTCTGACTAAGAAAATCTGTAGGACAGAGGAGGACTGGCCCTGTGGATGGGGGGCTGTAATTCTTTACGGATGCAGAAAGCCTCATCTTTCTCCCTTGCAACAACGAGTGGGTTTGAACTGCTGAGGTTGTGTTAGCAGCATAGTGTATACCCCACTATGCCACCAGGGCTATGCTCCTTAGAAGAGGAGGGTTTGGTTTCATTAGGTTCCAAAGTACTTTGCTAAGAGAGTAGAGAATGGAGCATACTTGGGAGTTGACTGGAGGAAAATAGGGAGATCGGCCATGGGGAAAGACCGCTTCATTAGCATATATCCTCATCGCGAATATTACAGGCAGTACATTCAGTAAATTTGGTAACGTTGTTAGAGTACATTAATTTTTAGCAAACTGAGTTTCAGTGATTTTGCCCAATTCCAACAGCAAATCGACAGAGGTTCGCAGAGAATAAGTGGTGGTTGAGAGCACTGAATTTGAAGTTTGGTAAGATGAAGATTTCCAGCCAACTTGTTGGAAATACCAAGAGCCTTGGTGGCATAGTGGGTGACCCATCGGGCTGCCAACCGCAAGACCAGCACTTGAAACCCACAGCCGCTCCTTGGGTGAAAGACCAGACGTGGTATTTCCATAAAGAGTTACAGCCTCAGAAACCCACAGGCAGTTCTACCCTGTAGGGTCGATATGAGTCAGCATCAACTTTATGGCAATGAGGTTTGAGAGTTGGAAATGCAGGGCTCGAGTGCAGGAGACGTGCACTACACCTTTGAAGAACAGACGCTAGGAGACGGGGGGCTTGCTGTATTCTTTTCATTGGGTCTCTGAGGGGTACAGTCTTCCTTTTAATCAACCCTGAACTCAATGTAGTCATTGTGAGGCTAGTGGACTCACTGCCAACCCAGAATCCTCCTCATCAAACCCTGTCCACCCTGATCTGTACACCTAGAAAGTGCAACAACAATAACAACCATGTAATTAGGGTCTCTCGAGGAATGTTGGAGTTAAGGCCCAAACTAGACAAATTTATATTTATTTCCAATACTCTCAAGAACATGTTCCTGTATCTTTAAAAAATATATGCTAAGTTTGAGTAAAAGCATTAACTACCGAAAAGAGTTTAGAAAGCAATTATGAGGGTAATATATATATATATTCTCAATATCATGTCAAACACCAATCCTAAAACCAACAAGTGAAACTTACAAAGATTTTGCCCAATTATACTATAATCTAACAACCCTGGCCAACCCAGCCTGTCTTACAAAGCAGAGAGAATCTACTGCTTTGTGGTTTGGGTGGCATGATCAGCAGCATTGGGGAAGCGCAAGGAAGGAAAGGATACACACGCTGAAGCCTGCGATGAGTGGGCGATTGAGGAAACCAGTCTCATCCTGGTTTTCTGACTCTAAAATTTTAATTGAGAGGATTTTGCTAATACATGATCAACCACAGGTTTAAGTCAATAGGATCTTTTCCTACAGAAGGTATTTCAGCTTATGTTTTTTTAATAGCCCTGCCCTGTGTTTGTGTGTGTATGTGTGTGTGTGTATCTTTGAGGAACCAAAGTCAGATTCTCTTCTTCCCTCCACCACTGCTGTGTCATTACTGTGTTTGTAGATAACGGGCCTGATATGGCAAGTAAGCACTGTGTATAAGGAAGTGCTGTCAGTATCCATAAATATTCTTTTGTTCCGCTAAGTGGTTATTTTAATGTAGAGATATTGCTACTCCAGTGGTGGAAAACTCTGGAAATGAATTTTTTGCATGATTTTCCCATGTTGCTCTTATAGAAATTCTACATGGACTAGTTTAAATAAAGTTCAGGAGGAAAATAGTATATATATTCATCGTTAAGACGCACATAGATTTAGGTCATAAACATTTTGGGCACATACACTAAAAATGGATCTTTTCTTTGTTTTCAAACTTTTGGCAGCCCAACGCCGACTGCATGGACAACTTGCCCACAGACTTTGAGGGCTCTCTGGGAGGCCCACCGACCAGCCAGATCACAGGTGCCAGCGACACGACTGTGAACGAGAGTTCCGTCACTTTAGACCCTGCTGTCCGGACTGTAGGAGCCTTGCAGGTGGTTCAGGATTCAGAGCCCACTCCTCAGGAAGGAGACAGCATCTTCACTGCCAACAACAGTAAGTCGTGGTTTGCCCAGAGCTTCTATCGTTCAAGGACCGTTGCTTCATGGAAACTGGGGGGCGGTATGCCTTTCTTTAAGAAACAACATACGGAACATACTTGTATATCTGAGGGTCAGGCTGAACACGCAGACCAGTCAGGTCTTACTCTTTCCATCACCTGCAGGGCAGACAGCACATCCAGCCAGTACACATGAGCACTCACGTCCAACTCTCTGCCATTGAGTTGATTTTGACTCAGAGTGCCCCGATTGGACAGAGTAGACCTGCCCCTTGTGGGTTTCTGGGGCTGTAAATCTTTACAAAGGCAGAAAGCCTCATCTTCCTCCCATAGAGTGGCTGGGGGTTTTGAACTGCAGGAGGCTCACATACCACAGAATTGTATCCACACCATGTCTACTCCCTTGAGTTACCGGAAGCAGGTAGGGTGGTGGCTCTGCCCTGTAAGAAGGAAGAGCAGATGAGACCAGTATTAGCCCAAGTTGTCTAGAGAAACAAGTCCCGTGACTCATCTATGTGTATGAAAGAGCTTTATATTAGGAAGTAATTCTACATATCAAGAAGGCATCCCAACCCAAGTCCATATGTTGGATGCTAATCCATAAATCCTTCTTCAGACTCACGTAGCTGCAGGCCAGTGATACAGAATCATGAAACAGGAAACAGGGCATCACACGCCAGTTGGTGCAGTCACATAGATCCAAAACCCATGGAAACGTAGCCGGGTACTAACAGCTCTCCAGATTGGCAGCACAGACCCTGCAAGCAGGAAGGTGAAGTCAGAGAGAGAGAGGTGGGGGTGGGGGTGGGGAGATAGATTTAAAGAGAGAGAGAGAAAGAAGAAGAAGAAAGAGAAGAGAGAGAGATTCCCAGGTTCCACTTATAAAAAGCCCACACGCCCCAGGAGGCATCATTAGGCTGTGATCAGATTGACAGGTTGGGCTCTCCCCATACTCATGAAGATTAAAGGTGACATAAAATTATCTAACTGCTACAACTTGGATAGGACACAAGGCCATGACTTGTGAGGATGATGGTGTAGTGGGTTACAAGTTGGGCTGCTAATGCCAAGATTAGCAGTTCTAAACCACCAGGAACTCCATGGAGAAAAGATGAGGTTTTCTATTCCCATAAAGATTTACAGTCTTGAAAATCCACTTGCACAGTTCTACTCTGTCCAATAAGATTGCTTATGAGTTAAAGTCAACTTGATGGCAGTGATTTGGCACCAAGTGATTAAGCCTTCATGAGTATATGCTTAGCTTTACAGAGTGTGTGTGTGTGTGTGTGTGTGTGTGTGTGTACACGTGCATGCTCTCCTTTGGGTATTTCTGCATGACAACCTGAACCCCTATACAGGTGACCCTGCATATAAAAATACCCTTTGAGGACATTGGCCTCTACTCAAGTACTCCCTCAGTGCAAGAATACTTTCTTCTATTAAATTGGCATTCTATGATGCTTACCTTCCTGACACAACTGCTGAAGATAAAGCGGGTGAATAAGCAAATGTGGTGAAGAAAGCTGATGGTGCCCGGCTATCAAAAGATATAGCATCTGGGGCCTTAAAAGCTTGAAGGTAAACAAGCGGTCATCTAGCTCAGAAGCAACAAAGCCCACGTGGAAGAAGCACACCAGCCTGTGTGATCACGAGGTGCCGAAGGGATCAGTTATCTGGAGTCAAAGAACAAAAAAATCGTATCATTGTGTGCTCACCTCCATGACACGATCGCTGAAGACAAATGGGTGCATAAGCAAATGTGGCGAATAAAGCTGATGGTGCCCGGCTATCAAAAGGTATAGCGTCTGGGGTCTTAAGGTCTTGAAGGTAAACAAGCAGCCATCTAACTCAGAAGCAACAAAGCCCACATGGAAGAAGCACACCAGCCTGTGCAATCATGAGGTGTCGAAGGGATCAGGTATAAGGTATCATCAGAACAAAAAATCTTACCATAGTAGATGATGGGGGGAGTGCAGAGTGGAGACCCAAAGCCCATTAGTAGGCCACTGGAGATCCCCTAGCAGATGGGTCTCTGAGAGGAGACGAGCCAGCCAGGGTGGGATGTAGCAACGATGAAAGATACAACTTTCCTCTAGTCCCCAAATGCTTACTCTGCCCCCCACTATCATGATCTGAATTCTACCTTGCAAGTCTGGCTAGCCCAGAGGATGTACACTGGTACAGATAGGAAATGGAAACACAGGGAATCCAGGGTGGATGATCCCTTCAGGACCAGTGGTGTGAGTGGTGATACTGGGAGGGTAGAGGGAGAGTGGGTTGGAAAGAGGGAACCGATGACAAGGATCTACATGTGACCTCCTCTTTGAGGGATGTACAACAGCAAAGTGGGTGAAGGGAGACAGGGAAAGATATGACAAAATAATAATTTATAAATTGTCAAGGGCTGATGAGGGAGAGGGGAGCGGGGAGGGAGGGGAAAAAATGAGGACCTGATGCCAGGGGCTTAAGTGGAGAGCAAATGTTTTGAGAATGATGAGGGCAATGAAGGTACAAATGTGCTTTACACAATTGATCTATGTATGGATTGTGATCAGAGCTGTATGAGCCCCTAATAAAACAATTAAAAAAATACCCTTTGAGTATTTTCTCTCCGCTCACACCTCCTGCATCAACAGTGAAACAGTGACTAACTACTTTTCTGTTCCATGATGGTTATCATAGAGATATTAAAACATCGGTCTTAAGATCAGGAATAGAAACTCAAATCTAAAGTACCTATTTTTTAGTCTCTTAGAATAGAGAGATATAAGTCACAGGAGTTCTAAGAAAATCACCATGCAAATTAACTTTGATTTAAGGGTAAAAGGGGTGTAGGTGGTAATTGTGATTTAAAATAAAGTGTATTTTCCCTTTGAGAGAAGTAACGTTTTCACAATACCAAATTTGGGAAAGCAGATTGGAGAAAACCCCCAGCAATCTCTCCACCTAGCTCTGAACTGCACAGGAAGCCCCTGCCAACAAGCCGATACAATACTATTATTAGCCAACCCATAGGGCCCAGGAGAGCTGATTGCCAAGGCTGTTTATCTTCTCAGAAGCAGGTTGCCACATCTTTCTCCGGGAGGGGAATTGCTGGGTTCAAAGCCATTAGGGCTCCTTCTCTCCTATTGATAGTTGTGTTCAAGTGAGATCAAATTGAGAGCAGCAACTTAAAAGATTAAATAGGGCTTGTTAAGGGGACCGTGACTTTTTGCTAAAGAAGGAAGAATAGCTCAGAAAAGGAAGGTGAGAATGGAGGCACAATTTGAGAAACACAGTCGGTGTTACTTAATTGTACGTGGTTTTGCTGTGTGTATTCACAGCAACAGCAGCAAAAGAAGAAAAACATCGAGATGCCTCTTCAACCCAAGAGGATGACTATTATCAGAAAAATCAGAAACTTTGGCAAGGAAGATTAGCAAGGATGGGGTGAAATTGGAACTTTTGTGCACTTGTGAGAATGTCAAAAAGTGAAGCTGATCCAGAAAACAAATGGGTGGTTCTCCCAAAAGTTACACACAGAGCCCTTGTTGTCTGTGTATCTGGGGTCCGGTCATTTAAGAGTCTAATTCCGACAACTCAGCAATTCATGTATTGAGGTTCATAGCTGACCTATACTCGGATAATTTCCTTTTCTCGGCAGTGTTTTCAATTCGATATCATTGGCTAAACTAAAGACATTATCAAGGTAGAGTGGGTACACCTTGGGCTTCTAACCAAAAAGTCAGCAGTTCAAAACCAGCAGCCAGCTCCTTAGAATTTTTTATGCCTGTGAAAATTTTCAGGTGGTTCTACCCTGCCCTATAGGGTCCCGATGAGTCAGGATTGACCTGATGGCAGTTGAAGTAATGCCCCAGGGGAGTTATTGATCATGTTCTCAAACTTAAAATGACAGCAACGTCTTTAAGGTGAACAGGAGACATACATAAACCATAGACGCATGAATAGATTTTGGGCTTTCACTTAATTCTAGCCCCAGTCTAAAAACAATTAGTTCTTATGACCTGACCCTGTTTGATGCTTGAGCTCATGAAAAGATCACTGACAATATGGATACTATAGTGAAGTGTGGTGAAGAATAGGTGGTGCCCCACTACATGAAAGAATATTATCTGGAGTCTTAAAGGTTGTTGTCAAACAAGCATCTTTCTAAGTGATGTGTCAACTAAATCCATGGAGAAGAAGAACACCAGCCTGTGTGATCCAAGGATTGTCAATAATAAAATCCAAATCTGAAGGAGGGAATGGTTTCAAAGCTTCCATTGGAACACCTGGTTTTCAGAAGACCTTGGATGACAATGGAAACCTAAAACCCATTTGCAAGGTCCACACATGGACCAGGCCTCTGGTGATTCCCCTCTGACCATAGTTAAAGGTTGTCAATAGCCCTGTTATCAGACAAAGAGCTTTGTAAAGTTGATTATGGCAGACATAGTTAGGCCAAAATGTAATAGTGTATCATTCGAGCTCCCCTGTAACCCATTTAAAAGCTGTTTCAGTTATAAAGAAAAAGTAAAGGAGAAATGCAGATGGATTAAGCCCCTGGTAAATCCCCTCTGACCATCGACCAGGGATGTGAATAACCTTGCTAACATGCAGAATGCATTCGAAAGGAGATTGTTCAGTTTCATTGAAGCCAAAATTTCTCACCCTGTCATTTGATCTCCCTTAATTAATTTAAACTTATTCTAGATTTTTAATATTTTCTACTTTCTTTTTGACTGAGGTTTTTATCTGTTTTATTTTGTTATTGGTTTTAGTTTTGTGACCTGATTTTATATTGTTTTTCTGTGTATGAAGTCCAGGGTAAATAAATCTACAGAAATTGTAACTGGATTAATGGTCCCTTGGGGCTATGGCAGGAGAGACTGAGAACAAATGGGATGCTGACGACAATCAGTTTAAGAACGCAGAAAAAATGTCTAAAACTGACGGTGGTGTTGATTGTACAGCTCTTCTTGATGTGGTTGAGCCATATTTATTCAATCTGTATCCG